AAGAATATAATCCTGATCCGAAAAATTAGGAAAAATATATCCTTTTAATTTAAAAACTCTTTCAATGTATTCGAAAAAGTTAATTTCAAGGTCATCACCYATACTTTTAATCATGTTTTGCAATGAATTACTTATGTTTTGTAATATATAATAAATTATGTTTTCTATCCCTGGGGTCTGTTAAAAGCTTCTGTTTTTGGCGTAATTAATAGCATATAATATTTCTAGAAAATGATGTATGCGATAACGCCAACATCAAATTATTGAGGTTACTGTTCATATGACACATGCAATGACGTCAGCACCTCAATTATTRTATTTACKGTTCTTCTGCTTTTTCGGTCTTTATATAGCCGATTKTTTTTTTTATTTTTGGTGTGCAATTTTTAGAGTTCTCTCTATATATATAAATATCAATTTTGTAATCCTTTGTATTATAGTTTGATATTAATAAAAGATAGCCTTTGTGTACTTATATAGAGTGATCCTGTATAGTTGATCCTGTAAAGTTATATAGAGTGATCCTGTATAGGCAGTGCTAAACAAAGAATTTCCTTAATTTGTTGTTTAATCCTTTTGACTGCATTAGTATGCTCATTAGTCCATGTTGGAGGATTATTTCTTAACCTTTTTAGTTCTTATATTGAATTTATCATTGTTTATATTGACGATGTTTTGGTTTATAGTCATAAATGATAACCGGATCGCAAGCAGAAATGTAATATCCTTTTATTAATAAGGCAAATATATTACAAGAGATTGATTACAAAAGGAGAGGGATAAGATTCTAATCTAAGACATGAACAACAAAACAAGAAGCAGCTACATAAAGCCGAAAAAGAAAAGCAACAAAAAAAATGTAGGTACCATTAGCACCACTAACTTTTTACAAATAATTGAAGTTCACAATAACTTCAATAATACGGACTTTTACCCTATTGCATGCGTCATCAAGCTTCGAACGTCATTGCATGCGTCATTTTCTGGAAGCTTATAGCTTTAGTCTTCAAACTGGTCTTGGGCATCTTGCTCGTCTTTCAAAATCCATTGCTCAGGAAATTTAACTTCTTTCCAAGAAATAGTTTTTGAAATTATTTTATTGCTTTTTGCAATATTTGTAATAAATAAAGTTGTTTCTCCTCTATCATCCAAGTTTTGAATTTGTTTGATATTAGGAAAAATTTTATTCATTACTTTATAATGAATTCTATAACTAAGAATGAAATTTTCCAACCCGGGTAACATGTCATAACCTTCAGATTTAATATCCAAGGATAAAACATCCATAATATGCGGATCACTTAATGATACAGGGAAATTTGGAAAGTACGAAAAATATATCGGCCCATCACAAAGACTTGATTCTATAACTGCAAGGAGTGAATCATGAAATTTGCAAAATCTTTTGTCACGAAGACATATTAAAGCAGAGGTGTTTAAACCTAGTCTGGTTGCAGGTTTCAAAGCAACTTGAACCATACCCAGATGCAAAAATTTATATTTTTGCTGATGCTGCTTAATTTGCTTCGCTGGTAATAATTGAAAAGTACTATACCCTTGGGATATAGGCATAGATTCTTCAACCGTTTCAATGATATAATCAGATTTCAATGAGAAATTAGATTTATAAACTTCATTCTGTTTTGATTTTGGTAATTTCCAATTACATAAATCATGATCTATAGTTTCGTTTATAATTAATTCTTTGTTTCTATTAGAAACAGATGAAGATGACGATTGAGAAGAATTTCTTCTCAAGGACCTAATTATCTGATTCATTAATTCAGACTTTCTCTATGGTCAACGACTTTTATCAGAAACGTATTCGAACCTCTACCTGGGTATCAAAAAGTAAACAAACAAGTGAAATTAATTAAGTCAGTTCTGAACACGACTTGGTATCAAAGAGTAAACAAACAAGTGAAATTAAATTGGTACCTTGATTAAGGTTCTTCAATCACTACCAGTGTAAGAGCTTCTTGGTCTGATCTATAAGAACTATGGCAGCTGGTTGATTAATCATGAATGGTGTTCTTGAAGGATGAAGCTACTTGAGTTACTATATATAGAAGGATGAAATATCTTGGCTGCCTCTAAACTCATCCATGGTTATCTTTTTAACTATGGTTAGTGTTTACAGCTTTGCTATTTCCAGGCCACAAAACCCATTATCAAGTCTTCCCTCCAAATATTGATTTTTAATTTAATCACTAAGTTTAAAAATTATTAAAGAAAGTATTAAAACTATTAAAAAAACTCAATTAGGTTGTTATTTTTAGGTTGTTATCTTATGGAGTTAATTTAAGAATGATGAGCAATAACCATAAGGGTGGTGTCTGATTGATTTGAGCTTGGCTTCGAAGGTCAAAAGTACCAGGAGATTCCAGGTTCAAATCCAAAGAAGAATAAAAATCTTCTTGTGGTCACGGACGTTCAAATGCGATGACCCCGAGCTATCTGCAAAGCAGGTGGTCGTCCTGAGATTAGTCGACTCGTATAGCTGGTTGGGTATCCACGTTAATAAAAAAAATGATGATCAATTAGAGCATGTTTACCAAATGGTTATTGGGTATATATATTTATCGGTAAAATTTCTTATTTTCGGTTGTCAAAATAGATTGTTGATAAACGTTTTTTATTAGACAAGTATTTATTGGTAATAATTTCTTTTTCTCGCTTAACTGGTGGTATCTTGGTCTCGCCATGTCATTAACCAGGTAAGATTCTCGACTCTTGTCATAGGCATTCGACAAAGTAAGTACCAAGTGACATCCGATAACGTAAGTACCAAGTGACATCCGATAAGGTAAGTACCAAGTGACATCCGATAAGGTAAGTGTTTGGTAAATAATCCAATACCTTATTTGAGATTTTAAAGGAAAATTGACCAAAATAACCAATCTCCCAAACGATATTAATGGGATTCATTTTTTAAACCGAATTCCAATTTAACCATTGTTTCATGCAAGGCCATTGAAGTTTTTTCATACTATTTTTCAGGACCAATAAAATTAATCGAGGTATATATAAACTGAGCTGAAATAAGGGTGTATTTGGGATTGTTTATAAAAACAATTTATTAACTTATTTCAGTATGACACCGATAATAAATATTTTTAAGTGTTTGAATAAACAGCTTATACCAAAAACAAACCAGTAATAAAAAAAATTAAAAAAAATTAAACCATTTTAATTTATGATAAATTAATAAAAACTTATATAACCGCGTTAAAAAAAAGTTGAAGATACATCGAACAAAATTTCAATGAATGAATGTGGGTCCCACAAGACCTCTATTTT